CTTCTTCTCTGTAAGCCCCTGAGCTGGCTTCTTGACATTCAAAACACCTTCCACAGAGAAAAGGTTGATAAACACTCAGGGGGAAAGTCTAGCCATGGATTCCAAAGGAGGTCTCAGCCTGCAGGACCATAAGCAGTTGGAGGGAGAAGTCAGAAGGATGTCACAGTTCCAACCTCTCTGTCTATCCCTTCCCCGACCTCGCCCCGCCCTGTAGCCACAAGTTGTTTGTCTCCATTTTGTTTGGAATTGACATGTACAGACTACTATATTTAAAATAGATAGCCAACAAGTACTTACTTTTTTTTTTCCATTTATTTTTATTAGTTGGAGGCTAATTACTTTACATCATTGCAGTGGTTTCTGTCATACATTGAAATGAATTAGCGATGGATTTACATGTATTCCCCATCCCGGTCCCCCCCTCCCACCTCCCTCTCCACCCGATCCCTCTGGGTCTTCCCAGTGCACCAGGCCCGAGCACTTGTCTCATGCACCCAACCTGGGCTGGTGATCTGTTTCACCCTAGATAATATACATGTTTCGATGCTGTTCTCTTGAAACATCCCACCCTCGCCTTCTCCCAGAGTCCACAAGTCTGTTCTATACATCTGAGTCTCTTTTTCTGTTTTGCATATAGGGTTATCATTACCATCTGTCTAAATTCCATATATATGTGTTAGTATACTGTAATGGTCTTTATCTTTCTGGCTTACTTCGCTCTGTATAATGGGCTCCAGTTTCATCCATCTCATTAGAACTGATTCAAATGAATTCTTTTTAATGTCTGAGTAATATTCCACGGTGTATATGTACCATAGCTTCCTCATCCATTCATCTGCTGATGGGCATCTAGGTTGCTTCCATGTCCTGGCTATTATAAACAGTGCTGTGATGAACACTGGGGTGCACGTGTCTCTTTCAGATCTGGTTTCCTCGGTGTGTATGCCCAGAACTGGGATTGCTGGGTCATATGGCAGTTCTATTTCCAGCTTTTTAAGAAATCTCCACACTGTTTTCCATAGTGGCTGTACTAGTTTGCATTCCCACCAACAGTGTAAGAGGGTTCCCTTTTCTCCACACCCTCTCCAGCATTTATTGCTTGTAGACTTTTGGATAGCAGCCATCCTGACTGGCGTGTAATGGTACCTCATTGTGGTTTTGATTTGCATTTCTCTGATAATGAGTGATGTTGAGCATCTTTTCATGTGTTTTTTAGCCACCTGTATGTCTTCCTTGGAGAAATGTCTGTTTAGTTCTTTGGCCCATTTTTTGATTGGGTCATTTATTTTTCTGGAGTTGAGCTGGAGGAGTTGCTTGTATATTTTTGAGATTAATCCTTTGTCTTTTGCTTCGTTTGCTATTATTTTCTCCCAATCTGAGGGCTGTCTTTTCACCTTGCTTATAGTTTCCTTTGTTGTGCAAAAGCTTTTAAGTTTCATTAGGTCCCATTTGTTTGGAACTCTGCTCAATAGTCTAGTAACTTGAATGAGCAAAGAATCTGAAAAAGAATAGATACATGTGCATGTATAACTGAATCACTTTTCTGTACCCCTGAAACAAATACCAGTAAACAACCATACTCCAATATAAAATCAAAATTAAAAAATAAATAAAAATGAAAAAAATATTTTTAAGTGTTTGAAAAAAAGGATTTCAACATGTTAACTGTACTCCTCTAGGAGTTGTGGAGATTTTAACTTTCGTCTATTCAGTTCTCTGAATTTTCATTATCTTCTGTGATGAAAAGACACGGCATTTCATTTACAGCTGCAGTGGGGAACATTCTTTCAATCCGTTCTAATTTTGACTGAGGTATCCACATGCCCAGCAAAAGTGGATTCAGTTCCTGACTGTCCCGCAGCTCAGTGGCCAAATGGTCCGGATCTGAGGAGAGACAGGGGACCAGCTGGGTCAGAGCAGCCCTCAGCCTGTTCCCCCTTCTTCCCGCTGCAAAGTGAGCAAGAGCTAGGAGCAGGTCAGCTGCCTGCTGGTCAGCTGCTCCTCTCGAAACAGGGGCTGCCTTCCCTGGACACAGCCACTGATCTCTTTGTCTTCCAAAGAGGTGAGAATCTTCCTCCAAGATGAGCTTGGCTTCTACCTCTGGTCAAAAGAAAGATGCTTTTGTGGCTTCTAGTTTCCAGCCCCTCCATTTCTAGTGCTTCTGGGCCCGAGAGCACCCTGGATGCAACCATCTGATGAAGGACTTCCCAGCTGCTCCATGAGGGCCTCCTAGGTCAGGGGTGACTCCAGGGCCTGTTTCACACCCAGCAGCAATTCCCCCACTGAATCATTCATTCATTCCTCAACAGATGCCCCTGACCCAGGCAGAGTCCAGTGTAGATAAGACTGTGTTCATGTCTATACAAATGCTAGCTAGTAAAGAAGTCTACGCATAGCAACCTCAGATCATGAAAACACCATGAATAAACATACAACAGGGCAGTGGGATAGCAGAGCTGCTCGGCTAGGGTAGTCAGGCTCTATCACAGATAAGCAGGGGACTAACAAGAGTGAGGGGTGAGGAGTTTGTAAGCATAGGGGAGGACTTTAGGTAACGGAAACAAAATCCTAAGGCCTGGAAGCAGAAATCAAATAACAGCCAATGCATTGTGCAATATACTGTGCACGGTTTTCTTAGCGCTTTGAATATTTTCCTTATTTAATCCTCACAGTGATTCTAGGAGAGAGGCACTATTATTATCCCTATTTTATAAATGAAGAAAGGGAAGATTGGAGGGTAAGTCATTTGCCTAAGGCCAGACATCAAGTCAACAGTCTATTGTTTCATTCTTAGGGATCCAAAGACTGGTTTCAGCGGTGATAAACATTTAATCCTTCCTCTGGAAAATCATGACTATATTCAGGCTTTTAATGTCGAGGAATGTTCTATTATTCTGTCATGTCTTTTAGAATAGGAGATGGGATCAATTCTGTCTTAACACTATTCCAAATATCCAGATGTAACTTATAAAACATAAAGCGCTTCAAATGTGTGGACTGGCTGGTGAAGTATGAAAGTCTGAATCCAGGAATATGTTGAGGACATAGCTTTCTTGTCTTTTTAAATTAACAGTTTTATTTAGATATAATTCACATACTATACAATTCACCCACTTACAATGTACAATTCAATGGCTTTCAGTGCATTCACAGGGTTGTGCCTTCATCAACACAGTCATTTTTAAAACATTTCTGTGACTCCAAAAAGCACCCTGTACCAGTTAGCAGTCACCTCCATGTCCTCCCTATCCCACCCCAGCCCTGGGAAATCACTAATCTACTCTCTGTCTCTGTGAATCTGCCTATTCTAGACATTTCATATAAAGAGACTCATACAGTATTTGTCCTTTGTATCTGGCTTCTCACTTGTCAAAATGTTTTAAAAGTTCATCCATGTTGTAATGTATCTGAGTACTTCACTACTTTTTATTGCTAAATAATATTCCCTTATATGAATATACCATATTTTATCTATTCATTCATCAGTTGATGGATAGTTAAATTGTTTCCACTTTTTGGCTAGTGGGAAGAATGCTGCTGGGAGCATTCATAAACAACTTTCAGAAAGAACACATGTTCTTCATTCTCTTGGGTGCATCCCTAGGAGTTGCTGGGTCATGTGGTAACCCCACAGTTGACCAAATGAGGAACTAGGATGCAGCATTACTTTCTCAAGCTATTTCCCCCCAATAACTGCACTCATACCTGCAGGGAGTGTTTGAAATCAGGGGAGGGAGAGGAGCATTTGTTCTCATAAGGTCAGCCTGCCCTAGTCATCTCCTTTAGACAGTCAAAAATATCTTTCTTAGAAAATCGCTGGGGATGACAGGTTCTAATTAATGACATTTTATTACTAAAAAATATTTTGGGGGTTAGCATTGTTGTGCTTCTGCTTAAAGGGTAACTTCACACACACACAAATACACGTACATACACATCCCACCTCCAGGAGGAAGACCCTCAGAATGAGCCATTCTTCTCCACCGGAGTAGAGAGTCAGAATGGAAATAAGTGGGTTTCTTCCTTCAAAAGCAAAGGCTAAGAAGCTGTGCCCCCTTCCCAGGTCAAGGCGAATCCCCACATTGCCCATTGCTGCTCACGATCCACGGCAAGGACGCGCGGGTGTCAGGGCCTGGTCCTGGGTGCAGGGCTGTCCAGAGCCGACAGAAACTCAGAGCGGGCCTGCCTTCCGTCCCCAGCCCAGGTGTGTGCAGTCCACAGGGAGAGGGTTTGAGGCCCCTCCAAGGAAGCGGAGGCCTGGCCAGGTGCTCCCCTCTCTGGAGTCAGCGCCGCACTTAGATGCCGGCAGACGTCCAGGTGGGGAGTGCAACATCCTGGGGTCCTCGGGGCCCGTCCAGAGATCCAGATGTTTGGCGTCAACAGCTCCCAAACTTGGGTGATTGAATCTGACACTTTTTTTTAACAGAGTGTAGGCACAGCTGTCCAAAGGAAGCTTGTTTGTATTCGCTCCTTCTCTCCCGCCTCGAGTGTGCTTTGAGTCCTGATTCCAGCAACGTTTTGGCAGCTCTTTCTTCCATTCTTGTGCTGGGTAAAACCCAAGAGTCCCCCAAGGCCTGTAAGAAGTGGGGAGAGCAGGGGCCTAGCCTATTTGATGGAGCGTTGGAAAGGGGGCTGCAGATGAAATAGTGCTATGGAAGAGGAGGCCCTGCCCTGCGTGGGGGCTCGATAGACGACTTTTTAGGTCACTCTCCATTTTTGGCTTCAAGGACCCTCTGGTGAGTTCGGCAGGCCTCTTCCCCCACTCCTGGAACCCAGAAAGAGGTACTTCCTTAGAAGGCTTTGGAGGCGGCATGAGGCACGGAGACAGGAGGGCTGAAAGAGACGCCACAGGGGATGCCTCTTGTCTCTCCTTCTCCCAGCCACCAGCATCCTCTGAACTGCTGGACAGACCGCTTGCCTTTCCCGGAGCACCTGGCACTCTCCCTGCCCTCCCTCCCTTTCTCAGCTCCTCCAAGTCTCCTTCACCCCTCTTGGCTCAGGCCCCGTGTGCCCCTCCGTGCGGCCTCCCCCTGGGAGCAGAGCCACCCCCCACGGCAACATTCGTCACCTGGCACGTCTGCAGGGCAGGACAGGACCATTCATCTCCACGGCTCCCTTCCCAGGCTGCAGGCGGGAACCGGACAGCAATGTGATAGCTCAGCGAACATCCGTCCATGTGGAATGAAGCGAGGAGCTGCCCGAGGACGAAGAGATGCTCCCGGAGTCAGGCAAAAGGTGCACCTGAGAGGAAGGGAGGGGTCCTCTGCTGGGGCTGAGGCTGCAAGCTGGGCAGTTGCAGTTTGGGAACACTTATATCTGCAATCTCTGAGGTTTTTGTTTTATTTTTTTTTAATTAAAGTGTTAACTTTGAAAATCAGAAGACTGTACTTAAAAATCCAAATATCTGGTGTCAAGTGTAAAATACCAGAGGGTCCCAGCAGGAGCGACCAGAGCTGGGCGGGGCGGCCCCTAGGCCGGGCTCAGCCTGCCTTTTCCCTGCGGTCCCCTACCTGGCCCTGCCTGCCTCTCTCCATGCTAGGAGCTGGGAGGTGTTGCCTTGGCAATGGGCATACAGAAAAGGACCATCCCCACGTTTGGCCTGGGGCCTGCCCGGGATTTTAAATCACACTCTAGAGCTGCCTTTTAGCTTCTCCAAGGAAAAGAGAGCTTGAGGGTGGTTCAGAGCATCTCTGCAGACCGGATGCCAGAAGCACGGGCTCTCCCGCAGACCTGCCCTGTGGGCACCCAGCGGAGCGTTGCTCCGCGTTCCCCCTGCTCTCCAGAAAAACCAAGCAGGCGGCCTGTTGCCATCCTCACAGGTGTGTGTGGAAGGCACACCCAGCTGCCCCAAGACCAGACATGCTCCTCCCTCAGTTTTCACTGCTAGTCAATTTCAGTTCATTACAAGTGAAGGACAGGGAGACCTGGCCTGCTGCGGTCCATGGGGTCGCCAAGAGTCAGATACGACTGAGTGAGCGAACAAGCCGTTCAATGAAATTCAATTTTAGTTAAAAATATCAATGCAAGCAAGAAGCCCAGAGTGGGGGTGGGTGAATGTGGGTAAAGAGGAGGACGGAGGAAGCGGGGGACTGCTCCAGAGGAGACCCAGGAGCCATCGCGGGGATGACAACATGCCCACTGTTTTGATGGCGGTGATGGTTTCATGGAAGCCCACCTGCATCTAAGTTATCACATTGTGCACTTGCAATGGGCACGGCTTGGTATATGTTAGTTATACCTTGATGAAGGTATTTAAAAAGAAAAAAAAGAGGTACTGGTTGAATTTAGTTAAAAGGTGAAGGTTTGACAGGAAAGTGAAAACCTCGTTTGTGAATCCAGTTTGGACAGCCTGTCGGGCATTTGGGGTAGCGGGTCAGTAGGGAGGAGCCTAGGGCAGGGTTCAGAGGCCAGGGGCCAGGGAGGGCCCGGCATCCTCAGGAAATCCTGCATTTTTCTCACCTGTGCCGCCACACCCCCCTCCTGGGACTTTCTTCTCTGGGTCCCCTCAGAAGGGGACTTCTTCCGAAGCCTGGTGGGAGGGGGAGTCCCCAAGCAGAGTCTGCCTCCCAGAGCCCCTCTCTGAAGCCAAAGGCCTGGGGTCTCCCCTCTTGCTCCGCTGCCTGCTCACCATTGTGGCCTCTCCCAGGGACTCTGGGCTCTGTCTTTGTCTTTGTTGAAACCCACAGTGTACAAATCAATAAGTGTCTGTAAAACAACTAAAGAAGTAAAACTGAGCGGCCCCATGCCAGGGACAGGAGGTCAACTCCCTGAACGTTCTTCCTTGCCCGCTGCCCACCAGCCCCTCCAAAGGCCCACAGGGTGGGCTGTGGACCAGCATGGGTGGTCGGTTTGCCCCGCGCCCCCTCCAGTCTGGTTCCTGTGGGCAGCCTGGGATCGCTGCTCTACGTCTTCCTAATGAACTCTGACGTTCCTGGAAAGCATCTGTTTTTATAAAACTTTGCCAGGGGTGGAGTGGGCGAGTGGAGAAGGCGGGGCACAGGGCCTCGGGGGAAAGCTGGCTGCCCCTTCTGCAGGGGGAGCTGCTTGGGGAACCCAGGCGGGGCTGGACTGCAAGGCATGCGGGGACCTCCACTGTGGGCAGCCACAGGCCAGAGGGAGCTGGTCCTACCGCAGGACCTGCTTTTACAGGAGGGGACATCCGTCCTGTGTCCAAAGGGGCTAGACCGTTGCCCTTGTGCTGGCCATCTCGATGGTACTCAAGGGTTTGGAGCTCCGGAAGGGAGAGGTGAGGGCCGAGAAGGATCAAAGCCTGGCTGGGACAGCTCCTGGCTGCAGGCATCAGTGTCCTAACCTCAGGGGGGGATTGTAGGAAGGGGCAGCCCTGGGCAGTCTTGGGGAGAAGGGGATGAACAGAGCCTGACAGCACCCCCAGGGGGCAGCATTCAGCACAAGAGGTGTGGGTCCAGATGCGGGTTCCTTGGTCCTGCCCTTGCTCTTGGGCCATCTGTGCTATCCCTTCACCCCAGCGGCTCATCATCAAGCGGGCTTATCACCCCCAGCTTGCCCTGCCCTCCTTCCCAGCGCATCTCCCGTTTCCCCACATTTGGGTTCATTTTCTCCCCCTAGCTTTGACTCTGAGAATCACCTCTCAGCTTTGAACATTCACTGCCCTCAGAGCCCAGGAGGCAGCCAGTCCCAGGGGCTACTCAGGGATGGTGGTCGCCCACCCACTAGCCCAGCTCACCTCTGACCCAGTCCTGGAGCAAGGACCTGCAGGTAACTCCCACAGTTCACTCAGACCCCCAGATGAGGCTGGATGAGAGCCTGGTGAGGTGGACTGGACCGACACTGCAGCCCCGAGCCGGCGGCTCACTGCGGCTCAGAATCCAGCCCACCCCGCGCACCTCCCAGCCAGCAGGGCTGTGGGGTGTAGGGGCCCCTACCTTGATCTGGATTAAGTCCAGGGTTGGCAGTGGCGGTTGAGCAGGGCATTGGACAGAACCTGTGAGAACTAGCCTCAGTCACCATTTGGTTATTTATTGCTTCATGAGGAACCACCCCATCCTCAAAACTTAGTGGCTTAAACCACGGGTCACTTACCACCACTATCTCTTTTGCTTCAGGAGATCAGTCTGTCTGTTCTGGCTTTGCTATTCTCACTCAGGATGTGTTGTGGTGTTTCAGTGAGATGGTAGCAGGGCCTGGATGTCTCAAACGATCTCTTCACCCATTCTTTGGGCATCTGATGCTGGCTGTCAGCTGGGACCTCAACTGGAACATCTCCATGTAGCCCCTCAGTACACATGGGCTTCCCCATAGTATGGCAGCCAGCTTCCAAGGAAAAAGGGTCCCCAAGGGGAGCCTGGTGGAAGCTATCTTGTCTGTTATGACCATGCTTCTCAAGTAACGCTGCATCATTTCTGCCTCTTCTACTTGTCAGAAGGGGTAATTCAACCAGGCCCAGATTCAAGGAGAGGAGAATCAGACTGCCTCCTGAGAAGAGGAGTGTCAAAGAATGTATGGACAGGTTTCAAAACCTCCTGGATGATTCCTGCTGAGCTGGGCCTGTGGGAAAAAAGGCATGGAAACTGAAGTTAATTTCTGATTTTATCCCCCCTCATTGCCTGGAGGAAAACTTCCAGAATCTTCTGCCCCAAGTTGGTGGTCCTACTGATGATCTCTTATAATAAGCTTTCAGCTCAAAGATGCCTGCTCATGGGGCTTAGACACTGGGGACTCTTTAATGGGTATAACTGACCTGCTTGGTGGGTACTGATCTCTTAGGCTGAGGGGTCACACCCTCAGTACACAATAGAGCATTCACATGTCACAGGGAGGGCAATTCTGCTGAGCCCAGGGCCAAGCCCTCTGAGGGATGGTGGGCTGTAAAAAGGGGCATGAACTCTCTGGTTCTTGCCTTTGTAGGAGGGGAAAATCTTTTTCCTCTATCCTCTTGAGTTCTTCACCTGAAAGTGAAAAGTGTTAGTTGCTCAACCATGTCTGACTCTTTACAACCCAGTGGACTGTAGCCTACCAGGCTCATGGGATTCTCAAAGCAAGAATACTGGAGTGGGTAGCCATTCCCTTCCCCAGGGGAGATCTTCCTGACCCAGGAGTCAATCCTGGGCCTTTCACATTGCAGGCAGATTCTTTACCATCTAAGCCACCAGGAGACCTGCAAATCAAACTAACAAGAATAAAGAACAGATAGAGTTACACACATATGTATGCACAAGACTTCACCAAGAAATGTGACTCAAAGAGGCTCTCAGAATCTGGAGTTTGTATACCAGTTTACCCCTTCATGGGTCACAGCTGTGTTGTGACAAAGGGGCTTGCATAACTCATGAAGCTAGGAGCCATGCCATGCAGGGCCACTCAAGATGGATGGTCATAGTGAAGAGTTCTGACAAAACCTGGTTCACTGGAGAAGGAAATGGCAAACCACTCCAGTATTCTTGCCTTTAGAACCCCATGAACAAAAGCAAAAGATATGATACAGGAAGATGAGTCCTTCCAGGCTGGAGGGGGTCCAGTATACTACTGGGGAAGAGCAGAGGGCAATTACTAATATCTCCAGAGAGAATCAAGCACCTGGGCCAAAGTGGAAATGACAAACAGTTGTGGATGTGTCTGGTGGTGAAGGTAAAGTCTGCTACTATAAAGAATAATATTGCATAGTAACCTGGAATGTTAGGTCCACGAATTAAGGTAAATTGGCTGTGGTCAAGAAATGGCAATACTGAACATCGAAATCTGAGGAATCAGTGGACTAAAATGGATTGGAATGGATGAATTTAATTCAGATGACCATTATATCTACTACTTTGGGCAAGAATCCCTTAGAAGAAGTGGAGTAGCCCTCATAGTAAAAAAAAAAAAAAAAAAAAAGTCTGAAATAGAGTACTTGGGTCCAATCTCAAAAGTGACAGAATGATCTTGGTTTGTTTCCAAGGCAAACCATCCAACATCACAGTAATCCAAGTCTATGCCCCAACCACTGATGCCAAAGAAGCTGAAGTTGACTGGTTCTGTGAAGACCTAAACACCCTCTAGAAATAACATGAAAAGAAAAACACTCTTTTCATCACAGGGGATTGGAATGCAAAATTAGGAAGTCAAGAGATATCTGAAATAACAGGCAAATTTGGCCTTGGAGTAAAAAATGAAGCAGGGCAAAAGCTGACAGAGTTTTTCAAGAGAACACACTCTTTTCCAACAACA